CAGTCCGAAGCTGGAGAAGGTTTAAAGTGCTCTCCAAGGAAGTGCCAGAGCTATCATTGTTTGAGAATGGAACTTGATTGTTTTGTAACAAAAAGCCTTCAAATACATTGTGGAAGCTACTTCTTGGGCAGCCAGATGTGGACTGGTCTGAAATTTGACTGTGCTATGTGACTTCATCAGGTGCTATCAGTGGTGGGCAACAGAGCAGAGTTTGCTGTGCCCAGCTGAAACACAAGAGTATTACCACGTCCAGGAGTTCAAATATCAGAAGATCAAAGAGTTTTGCTTACAACCACCTTTGAAATGCATGTGGTTAGAGCACTGACTTAGGCTGTGGGAGACCTAGGTTCAGGCCCTGCTCTGCCACAGACTTCCTGTGTGACGTTGGGCAAGTCACTTATTCTCTCTGTGCCTCAGTTTCCTATCTGTAAAATGGGGATAACAATGCTTCCTGCCTTCCATGGATACTGTGAGGATAAATACATTAAAAGATTGTGAAGTGCTTTGAGATCTACTGAGGAAAAGTGCTAGATGTGAAATAGGCATTTTTATTAATCATAGGAATGTGGATTTCTCCTCTGTGTCCTGAAAAGAGCAAGAAAATATGCTAAAATGTGGAGCTCACCATTTAAATGTGGGAACACAACCTCTACAAAATATTGGAAGGAGATCTAGCATGGAGATGCAGCATTTCTTCTGCCATTCTGAAACATCAGAATTTGAAGGATGAGGAGAAGGGGAAAACTGTACTTATCGTCCCACCCCCCCATAATGCCTTATACATTAGTGGTCCCCAGAAGGGACCATTGTGATCATCTGGTCTGACCTCCTAACACAGCACTTCACCTCCTGATTCCTGCATCAGGCCCATCTAGGCAGCACCTGTGAGTGGGAACTTCCAACAAGGCCCCTGTCACTGTTCCTCCCAACCTCACTTATCTCCAATTTTGCAGGGTCTGTTGGCCACCTGTGTGATTCTGCGTGGCCTGACCAACTTTAGGCCTTGCCTTAGAGAGAGGGGAAATTGTGGCTTGGATCCTTATTGAGAGGGAGGAGGAGAGGTACGACAGAATATGGCAATCAAAAACCATTCGTGCACTGCCTCGAGCACAGACATTGCAGAAGGGGAGTAAATGCTACTAGGATTCAGCGAAGCCAGAGTGCAATGGTAAGAACTGGGAAAAATCAGTATTCAGATGTCATATTGCTTTGCTTATGGCCTTAATACTTTCCATACCCAGACAGTTAAGTCTCAGTTCTCATTCCAGTGCTCTCTTTTTAAATTTAATTTTCCAATTTACATTACACGTTTCATTCTCTAAAGTCAAGTACTTATGTTTAGATGAGATTAGCACACACTGATGTACTCTGCAGATTATTCAGCCCTTGTAGATCAGCAAGTACAGTAATGGCATAAGGGATATATATACATTCATATAATTACGTTGAAGACAACAATAGGGACCTATAATTAGTTTATAATAATTATGTTTGCCTACCACTTTATCATATAATGGCTCATCAGGATGATTTGTTCACATGCTCAGATATAAATAGTTAGTCATAAATAACTATCTAAAATTGTTATAATTATGTACTAGATTTATGCAAATGCAGAAAAAAGGCACCTATCCATGTGCTCTAGGTGTAACTTAAAAATACACCACAGAAATATCCGAAATTCAGCAGTATGATTCAATATAACCCACCATCAGTGAACCAGGCAATTTAAAAACTGAGATGCCTTTCCCCCTCCAACAATTCCCCACCCTTACAATACTCCCCCATCCCCATTTCAAATATTTGAGGGAAAAGATGAGCTTTGCAATGTAGCCCAAAGAAAGCTCATCATATTTAGGCTAATTTGGGTGGGGAAAGCAAATTCCATCACCATGGGACCCTTTCAGAGAATACCCTGCCAGCAGCCCCTTCTCATTCATACCAGTGGAGCTCCAGCTGTGACAGTTAAAGTCAGGACATTTATCTTTCATGAGTTAAGGGATAAAGTCTTGACATAATGCTTATAGATATGACACTGTTAGTCAAGGAACTTTATAAAAAATCCAGTCCTGCTTTTCTCCTGCACGCAAGTAGCCCCAGCAACCAATGGGCAATTGGGGTTTGGCCCATTTCTTAAAATAAATCTCCCAACCTCTTCTGAGAGGTAGGCAAATTAATATAATCTCCATTTTCTAGAGAGATGAAACGAGAGGCAAAAAATGCCCCGCGGCTTCCCAGAAGAAGGAATTAAAACTCAGAACCTCCTCATACCCCCAGACCAACCCTCAAAAGGCTGTTTGAGGGAGCAGGATACAATAGATCACTATCTAATAATAATAATATCTGGCTCTTATATGGCACTTTTCATCCGTAGATCTCAAAGTGCCCCATGCCATTTTACAGCCAAGAACAACAAAGCAAAGAGAGGTGAAGTGACTTGCTCAAACCTACCCAGGAGATCAGTGAGTGAGCCAGAAACAAAGCCCAAGTCTCCTAAAGCCCAGGCCAGTGCTCTAGCCACTAGGTCATGCTGCCTGCACTGCAGGTGAATGTTTTCTACAAGGCACCTATTCTATGGGTGTCATCCTGGCCCCATTGAAGTCAATGAGAGTTTTGCCATTGACTTCAGCAGGGCCAGGATTTCACCCTCTCTGTTTTACATTTAATGATTAAGTCCCTGAGCTTGCAAACACGTAAGCATGTTCTGAACTTTAATCACGTGAACAGCCCCACTGACCTCAGTGCAACTACTCGTGAATAAAATTAAACATCTGCTTACGTGATTGCAACGTTGACGTCTAATTGCCTGATCCAAAGCAATCAGAAATCTTCCCACTGACTTCGGATCAGGCTCTGAAGAGACATCACTCAAAACCCTGTTGATTTTTTGAGTATGGAAACAAGTTATTTCCCCAATGACATCAGTGCGCACGATGTTTTGGAGACAAATACCAGGAGACAGGGTCCCTGCCCCAAAATAAATGGCAGATGATGATGAAATGTTGCGGGGTGAATTCAACATCCTATGAATCATTTATCTCTGTTCAATTGAAACTAGGAACATAGGCCCGGTTGGAAAGCTCTCCCCCAGGAAAAGCACCCTCTGAGGTCAATGGGAGCATTGCCTGAGTAAAGCATACCCACCATCACAGCTAATTTGATGCAGTTCTGTGTTGACCAATTCCATTCCATATGAATGTTAACAATTTAGGCCTCAAACCTAATTCAGTAGGCTTTAGCTATTCCATAGGCTGATTTCAGTGGCAGCAGGATCACGTCTTACAATGAAAGGCAAACCTGCTGGGATACCTTTCTATGGGATAACAAAGTGGGTTCACCTCTTCATTGATACCAGAACATGTGCCTGATTATTTCCTGCCTACTGGAACTCTAAAGATTAAGTTAGTTGACTCTACTGCTGGGTATAGACTGCACACACATTTCCAGGAGTAGTCATTTGAGTTTTTGCTCTGATGGTATTTGCATCTCTTTTATGGTCACTTCCAACTAAGTTTCTAGCATTCTAGGGTCCAGACCCCACTGAACATAATGAACAACATTTACCGGTAGCAGTGCTCATGGAAACACTGAGTTTTAAGTGAGCTTTGTAGAATATTCACTGAACATGGAATTCTGAATATTTCCAGTGCAAGTTTTTGCTTAAAAACCTGACCCTGCGATTTACACTCATCCCACCAGGAAACAGAAACAATGCCACATGTCACATCACAAAATGGGCATTTTGAATACTCCCAACAAAGTGTTTGCAAAACAAACAACAAGCTAGGGATTACATGCAGAAATTATTCAGAGAATCGTTTAAAATAATGGCTTATGCACATGAAAATCACAACCTGCTCATGGACCATTAACAAAGAGAAAAAGAGGCAGAATTAATATAATAAAATTTTTCATTACAAACAATTCACCCAGCTCTAGTTAACACCACCTTGTATTCCTTGCGTCTGGGAGACAAGAGTCTTGTGTTTTAGATTTTCCTTAAGTGCTGTGGCATGCAGGGTTTGCCTTAAACGTGTAACCCAGATGTCCTGGGCTCGGTTTATTTACATTCTTTGGAACTGTTGTGGAAAAAAAAAAACCTATATGATGTCAAATATAATATAGCGCTCAATGGCACTATAAAGGGACAAGAATCTGCCACCCTTTCCTTGGAAATTGCTTTGGGATTGGTAGAAAAAGAAATAAAAGGCAATAACAACCCATCACAATACAAGCTAAGACCCACACTTTGCTTTCTCCAGTTTAACAATCAGACACATATTTGGAGGGCAAGAATTTGCAATATGTGGTATTAGCCATTGTCTGATGTTACCGGGTGAATCTATGTACCTGCTAAATAATCTGGGTAGGTTGTATAGGAAAACCATCAGGAACAATGTGACTCAAGTTCCAATATTACACACCACTATCTGATCCAGCAATCTATTTACCTCAACAATTGAAAGAGACGCTTATTATTCAGTTAATTCCATTTTGCTTTGTCTTTAAACTCATTTTGATGAAATGTAGCACTTACCATATCTAGACAATCATTTTTTATACATTGAGTTCAGTTGTTTGCACAGCAGAGAGGTAAAGGCATTTTTTGAAATGAAATTTAGTTTTGGTTCAAGATTAGATAGTAGCCAGGAAAGCAGAAAATTGGAAACCAATATAAGAAACCATTATGGTAAAATATTGCTTGAACACCATCACTATCATATTGGTTAACATCTAGCATCTATACTGTAATTCAGGACACCTCAGGATAATATTGATTAGAATATAAAAGAAGAGACCACCATAATATGCTATTGGTCACTGATAGATATACAGAGCTCAAAAGATGAATCTAAGTGTAAGTGTGATCATTTAGGAGTAAACCAACTCCCACTGAAGTCAATGGTAGTTTCTCCATTAACTTCAATTAGCGCTGGACCAGGCTCTTAAACAGATATAAATTATCTTGAATTTTCGAGGATTGTAATTTTTGACATTACCTGTTTAAAGATGCTGTCATGTCTTACCTTGACGTAAGACGAAGTGTCTGGTACTGTCTGAAACATCCTTATGTGTTTAATAGCTATTTTAAAAGGTCCTAAAATTGACCTGAAAATAAGAAAAAAAAAAAAGTAAAAATGAAGACCAGCAAACAAACAATACCTTTGTTTTGAAAATTAAAACCAGTAATAAACATTTAAAATGTTGTGATCAAGCATTTGAATGTTTCCTTTTTTAAAAGAAGGGGCATGGGACAACTTCTACCAGAACAAGGAAGTGTAAACTAATAACCAAGACTCAATATCTATCTTTTAACTATAGGCTTCACAGAAAAGAACCCTCTCCATTTTTGACTGGGGGGAGGGAGAGTTTGACGTTTGATTAAGTGAATTTCTTAATCAGCAATTAAAAGCTAGCAGAAATATCCATGTTTTCATGTTGAGACTAGTTAACCCTATTGACTTGAACCTAGGGGTTTCTCTTGGTTAAATGAATGAAATGCAGTTGTATTTCTATACTCATTAGAACCACTGTGGGTCATTAACGCGCCAATGGAAAGAAACCTTTCCCACGAATCATAGTTTGCCAGAAGTTGTATTGCAAAACAATAATGATAATTTTAAAAATAGAGAACGAAAATAAAATATATTTTGGCAACAAAAATTGTACGGGGTTGTCAGTTGCAATTCTCCCATTTGGGACGATGCTGTAACATTGTCAAATGTAGCTGAGCTTCAGAGCTTGCACCAAAGCAGAATGTCTCTCTCTCTCTGAAGTCTCAGGTTTGTGACATAATGATCGCATCACGAACAGGTTTTCTAAGGTCAGGACTGCACAATTCAGAGACTCACAATGGAAGGATCGTGAAATGTGATGGCTGGAGAAAGTCGAGTTTCCATTCAGGACAACAACAACAAACTTCAGTGATCAAATGAAATTTGCAATCAAATTAAAATCTCTCTCCGCACATCCATAACACCCGTTCCCTAGGTTAGAGGAAACTCTTTATTCCCTCCAAGCAGTGCTATAAAATGTCCACGAAACTGTAATAAATCCACCGTTAAAAGAAGCAAAAGCCCCCCTTTACTTCCCACTCGCACTGTTGCTAATTATGACGCTCGCGTTTTCTTGAGGGAACATTGATCAGAGGCAGATTTTTGCTCAGAATTCGGATTAAAAACCCATCAAGACCAAGGTTACACGGCAACATTCAACGTATGCAGGAGTCGTTTTGCTACAAATGGCTAATAAATCCCTTGGTGGGGCTGCTGAGGAAAGGCTGGCGGGCTAGAACTCTGGCGTTTATTGTGGGTGTGTTTACACGCACAACGGCGGATAGAACGCCCAGCTGCGATGTTGTATTTACACAGAACGCATACAATAAATGATGCCACCCGACTGACACGTAACCGGGTTTTTGCTCCACGCTGTGTGGAGCGGCAATGCTATCCGCCAAGGAAGGCCCCGCTACATGCACCTCCAGCCCACAGTGAGCACCCCACGGTAATGAGCTAATCACGCAGCATCCAGCGTTTCATTCACCGGTCCGCGTTTGCAATGCCGGGAGAACACCCCTATAACCCCCACAGCCTTCGCGGTTGCACTGCTCGGAAACATCTGTTGATTGAAAAAAAAAAATCCCACTCTGGCAAATAAATTGTTCTGTATCCGCACGTGACCCCCTTTTTATTGATTTTTAAAGCATTTGTTACGTGGCCAGCTGGCAGAGAAGGGCAACTGATTACAGAATCGACAATGTGTTTCTGATAAGCACAATTTATTTGTCTCTCCTTCCTCCCTAATACACTCCAGTTTCTTTTGCTTCTGAACTTGCAACAAGGAGGGGGGGGGGGGAAACCTCCAAGTCTCTCATGAGGTGAGGGGACAAGGGAATGTTCCTTGGGCATTAAATTTGCTGGAGTCAGGGATTCATCATACTCAATTTCCCTCCCTCGTTTTATCCCTCCCTCTGAATCAGCCCCCTCATTTGCTCCCCGTGCATAATTAGGCATGTTTCAAATCAATAAACACATCTGCATATTCAGATTCAACCTTAAAAGGCAACTCTGGATTATTTCCCAATAGCTTCGCCCTGCCAGCATCATCCACAGCCTAAAAGGGTCTTTTGTGTTAACTGCTCTTGTTTAATTGTTTCCAAAGGACTCACCTTTTATACCCTTTCCTCTCAACCAGTGGAAGAGCAGTTTGTAAAGATCCAGGTTGAGACCAAAAATAAAATCCCCACCAGGTCTGTACTGTAACCCTGCTGCAGCAGTGTGGCAAAAGAGAGATTAAACCTGCTGGATCCAAAGCAGCACTGAAGTTAAATTTCCCTAGTACATCCAGACAGTCTGCATATCCTCAGGGGGCTTCTGTAATGCGCTCAGCTCCAGCCAGAGCTTTTCTTCTTCTTCTCTCCTATCCCAGCCCCCTCCCCGCCGCGACTTTAAATTTGATTTCCGTTTTCCCCTTATCAATATTTCAGCCTCTGTCTTTGGTTAATCGTCCGAATGTGACATCCTCGCTTCTGTCACAGCCCCCCTCCCCCGCGCCGGCCCCCGCAAAAGACCCTCCCTTGTCCTGCCAGCAACTTTAAGGAACTTTTAAAAAAAATTCCACGAGTTTAAAAGGAAAATATTGCTGAGGAGTCAAGCCAGAAAGGAACGCTGAGTGGAGCTCAAGGACTACCTTAAGCCCCCTTTTTAAGCAAGGAAGTTTCAAATCTCCGTTTTTAAATCATCGTGCCTTGGTTTTAAATAAATAAATAAACAAACCGAGCCTACCTTGCAAAACAGGTCCCCTATTTCCCACTGAAACGGATCTGAAAATACGACAAACCAAATTCACACACACACACACACACACAAAGGGGAATTGAACTAGCTGTTCCACGCACAGGATCAAGAATTTGAACACTTTGATTCTCTTTGCCAACCAAAATCTCCACGATTTTCTTAGCTATTTACTGCAAACAGTCTATCAAGCAGCAAAACAAAAACAAAAGAAGGAGGGAAACCATATCTTCGAGGAACTCTGCAGAGCCAAATGGATCTGCTGGTGGAATGGTATGAAATCAGTAGATCATTTGCTCTGATCTGAGGTAGGAACACATATGAAGTTCAGTGAGACAGACACGCATTTTAATGTAACCCTTCCAGGGGTTAGCAAAAGTATTTGGAAAATCTCCTTCCCCACTCGGCTCCGCTTCTCCCTTTCCCAGCTTTACCCCAAATTCCAACATATTGAAACATTTTTCTCCTTAATAAGAGGAACATATAAAGTGAACGGGGTGAAAGGGCAGCCCAAGGAGCAGTGCCCGTAGCTGCGAGTACAATTTACTCTGGCAGACGAGGCGTTTAGCATTCCTGACAATTCCTAAGGAAAACAACCCTCCAGACTTCTACCACGGCACCTACCAAGAGTCAATTTTTAATATAGCAATTCTTTGGATTTGTTATTAAGAGCCAGTTTCCTATGCAAGGTAAACGCCATGGATTTCAAGAGGAAGCTCTCAAAAGATAACGGTGCTGGGAGGAATACGAAAGAGGTGACAGAAGCTACTTCCCAAACTGTTCAGAAGAAAAGCGACTCTTTCGGTCGGGTTTAAAAAGAAAGGCACCGGTACTTCAGTTATGTTACACGGATTTATAGAACCATGCAAAGGAGCAGAATTTAAGGGGAGGATGTTAGTCAGTGTCCTGATGATTGTGTGTGCAGACATCTCTCTTTCTCTCTCTCTCTCACACACACAAATAATTACAGAAACAAGAAAAGCAGTGATTAACTCAGACCCCATTTCAAAGCCATTATTTTTACACAACTGTTGTTCCTGCGTCTTCAACACGTTTGACATAAAACACACACACTGAAGAGAAAACCCACGGGCTAATATTTCTCTTCCTATGATGATGATGATGATGATTATTTGGCTAAGAAATTATCTAAATGTAGCTGAAGCTTCGATTTTCTTTTCCCATGTTTTTCTTTTCAGCAAATGTGTCCAACTCCTCAGCCCTACCCGAATGCAGACTCGAACCTGTCTAACATACACCCAATAAGGAGCAGTGAAATCATTTTAATGGCTAGAGCTAACAAAGGGTCAGGCTGCAAAGGGTTGGGGGGGGGCGTTGGTTGGGGAGAGATTCCCTAATACAGAGAGTTGTTCTTTCGTCCTTGTAATCAAACCCCGCAGTGAGTCCAGATACCCATGTGGCTAGCTGAAGTCGTCTTGGGAGCTTTACTAGTCCAGATGAAAATTGCTGGGAAATGGGAAACAGCTGCAGCCTCAGAAACAAAAAGAAAAGGAGGACTTGTGGCACCCTGGAGACGAACAAATTTGTGGGTCTCTAGGGTGCCACAAGTCCTCCTGTTCTTTTTGCGGATACAGCCTAACACGGCCGCTCCTCAGAAACAAAAAGAAAACTCACCCCTAAGCAGAGAAAGTTACAGAAGTTTTGTTTACACAAATAGCTCAACACGAGCATGCCATTTCAAGTGCTCACCCGCCAACTGTTGGTGACTTGTACGTAAACAACATTTCAACATTCATCACAGCCAGTGAGCCCTTAAAGATGCCTATGAAATCTCCATCTCTATCACACACACAGACCGCCTTTGTGGAGCTTGTTGCTGACTGTGTCCAACGGATTAAACAAGGTACTAGCAACACAAGCAGCAAAAATCCACACATAATTTGTATTAAAAAAAAACACAAAACAAAAAACCACCTCCAGACCAATGCTTGAGTCTCATAAGCCTGCTGGACAATTGCTAGACCGAACGGAACGGTGGAAAAGCCCAGAGTCCTGCAAAATGGGCTCTTTTCATGTTTTCTATTTATTAGCTACGTTAAGAGAAAACAGACTCGCTAGTCCCAAACGTAGGAAGAGTATTAAAGGAGGCATGTGTATAGTCCAGCAATTACAGCTGAACTTGATTAAAAACGTCACGAGGGCTGCACAGGCAGGAGTTACCTGATACACCAACCCTGGGGTTGCTTTAGGATGAATTATAACACAATTCATTTTATTTTAATAGGTCACTATAAGATTAACTGTTTAAGGATGGAGCTGGTGCTATAAAAGGTTACATCAAACCTGAAATAAGCAAGCCCTGCGTCCTGGATTTTAGAAGTCACCGTTTACTGTGTTTTAAAATTCCCCAACATGTTAATTAAAAATAAAAGGAATATGGAAAGTGAAAAGGAGCCCAGTACTGGCCAAATAACCCCCTCCCACTTCAGTTCTTCGGGGTTTTTTCCCTAAGAGGAAAACATGGTCACTGTTAACAGGACATCATCCTTTCTACACCTAAGAAGAAAACCAGTTCTCATTATTTTCAAGGTCTGAGTCCTAATCTTCAAGGCACTTAAAGAACAGCCTAAGGTCAGGGTACCTAAAAGATCATCCAAAAGCTCCAGAATGAGGAGGGTAATTGACAGCTCCTTTGTGGCAAAATAGAATTGTCCACCAAACAAGGGTAAAGTTTGTCTGAGCAGGAGAGAGAGTTTTCTTGGGGGCCAGTCCAAGACTAAAGTGAACTCCTCCAGGAACGAAGCACAATCCCACCTTCCACTGCAAAGTATACTCCTGCGACCTTGTTTTGCTACTAGAAGCAGGGCACAATGTAACTATCACTGCTATATTAAAAAAAATTCTCACACAATTTTCCCCTAGGGGGAGCAAGGGAGAAAGAATGAACCTCATGGGAAGAGATGTTGGACTGGTTCCTCAGTGCACTTCTGGAAGATTCTTGGAGACTATAATGGGGAGATTTTGGGGAAAAGACTGTCTTTTTGTTCTGGATTTGCACAGCACTTAGTACAATGGAGTCTTGGTCCATAATTACAGCTCCTAAGTGCTACCTGCAATAAATAATAAAATGACAGTAACAAGAAGCAGAACTGGTCAAAACTCACAATTTCCATTCTGTGGAAAATTTCAGTTTGTTTTTTTTTTTGTTTCAACTGGTCTCCCAAGATAGGTGGCTGAAAAAATATTTCTCTCACAGTATTCATTATTTTTATTTTATATTATTATTAAGAAAAAATAATTAGTTATGCAGTTGAAATGTCATACATCCTCCAGATGCAGAATGGATCTGTTGGGGGGGGGGGGGACGGACAGAAGGAGGCAAACAGGAATCCTTGCCTGTTTCTTGGGTTTAAGGTATTTAACTGAAGAGCAGAGCTTCTCAAATTATTCTTCATTAATAATATTTGTTGTGCAGCTAGTGTCTCTTTTA